TGCCGCGGCCCTTGGGCTTGCCCGTCTTGCCAGTAGAGCCGCCAGTTGGACAGTTCGCCGTGTCGTGGCCCATCCGGCCGCAGTTGGTGCACCTCTTATCCTTTGACTTACCCTTGTCCTTTCCTTTGCCAGGGTTGCCTTTGGAGAAACTTCTTCCGGCCGCCTTGCCACCAGCAGCCGCGCTCTCGTCCACGACTCCGTCGATTCTTCCCTTGAAGAACCCGCGAGCAGCCCGAAGCTTGTTCATCTTCAGGCGGCTCTCGCGCAGTGAGACGAGGGCCCTGCGGTAGTCGTCGTCTTCGTCGGCCAGGAACGTGTCCGCGTCGTCCTCGATGAAGAACAGGTCGCTGCAGTCCCAGCCGTTGTCGTCACCCTCGTCCGTACACACGTGGATTCCACGCTCATCGTCCCATTCATACCAGTATCCGTCATCGTCCTGTACCCAGTATTCTCCTGGATCCTCGTCGGGTGGCTCCTCTTCGGTGTTCATCGTCCATCTCCAGCCCGATCTGACTTGTCCCCGATGCTTCGCGCTGCCGCGTGGGAAGAGGTTCTTCAGCGTCATGCTGATCTTCTGGAAGTTAAACGTCTCCTCCGCCCGTGCGATCACCAGATTGCGTTCGTCCTTGTCGAGGCCGCTTCGCTTCAGAGTGTGGCACCCTAGCTCGTTGCTGCTTATCTTCGTGTCCGGGTCCACCTCCTCTAGGTTACGCTTGGCCACCTCCATGGCCGTGCAGAACGCCGCCATGGGTTCCTCGCCTTTCCGTTCGAAGTGCGTCTGATCGAAGAAGGCGTCGAATGCCTTCGGCAGCTCCCGAAAATTGCTCTTGGCGAAGCGCTGTGCCTCCAAGTATGCCAGCAGCGCTCGGGCCCCCTCCTTCTTGGCGTAGTCCTTGGGCCCCGTCTGCTCGATGAGCACGCTGATGCTGTTGTCCGCGCCGAGCAGGTTCCTATACAGCTTGGGGCCGAGCGCCTGTAGTTGATCCTCCGTCTCGCAGCTCAGCTCCGCCGCCTGCACGGCGCGCTTGTACCTCGTGAAATCCTTGAGGGTCTCGCCCTTCAGCACCGGGATTCTTGCATCCACTGCACTGTTGTGGTGCTCCGTCATCTCTCCTGGATGGCTAATCCGTGTCCGTGTAGATTATCTTGATAATCGTTATAATGAAGATCGTGGGGCCAACCACAAGCTCCGCTGCCAACCTCGTTTCTGGTCGAAACTCTCCCGCTCGAGCGTGTCGATGCCGTCGGCGGGAATCTCGAAAGAGAACTCGATCGGATAGCTCCAAGCCGCTATCGCTCCCTCGACCCGTCGCTTCTGCAGTGGGAGAAGGGAAGCGCCTTTCTCTCGAGCCCAAGCGCCGGCGCTTGATACACACATGTACACAAGCGTGCTAGATACATGCCCTGGGTCTTTCCCCAGAAATCACAGGAGGGGCTTACCTCGGCGGAGCAACTGGACCGAGGCCGCGGAGCAACTGAAACCAAGCGGCGGAGCAACTGACACCAAGCGGAGGAGCGGCGGAGCAACTGAGCCAGTTGTTGGCCCAGTTGCTCCGCCCGCCCATCTCAGTTGCTCCGCCCGCCCCCCGTCCCCCCTGCGCCTCTGGGGCAGTCTCAGTTGCACCTGGGGTGGTTGCAGTTGCCGCAACAAAACCCAAGTGGCGAATGGCGTGGAGGAGGGGGAGGAGGCGGAGGAGCGGAACGGGAGAGGAGGAGGAGGAGGAGGAGGAGGAGGAGGAGGAGGAGGAGGAGGTGGAGGAGGGCTATCGGAAGCGAGCGGGCGAGAACGCAAATAACATTGATTTTCTATGGGTGTTTGAAAGTTTTTGGCTTCTTGAGCCTCCTTGGGAAGCTTTTTGGACTCCTGGAGCCGTCTCGGGGCGGTCTTGGGCCCTGTTGGAGCGTCTTCGAGGCCATCTTGAGGAATCTTGCGCCATCTTGGGCGAAACAGTACCCTCTGGCACCTCGCGGGGCGCCTCTTGGGCCCGTCTTGGGGTGCCTCTGGGCCCCTCCGAGGGCCCTGGGAAGGGTGCAAGAGGGCCCCTAGAGGGCTCCCAGAGGCCCCCAAGGGGGCTCCAAGAGGCCCCGAAGAGGGCCCAGGAGTACATTATAAAACAAGCTGTTTTTTATAAGCTGGCCTGGTGCCCTCTTGGGCCCGTCTTGGGGCGCCTTTGAGCCCCCCCGAACGCCCTGGGAAAAGTCCAAGAGGGCCCCTACAGGGCTCCCAGAGGCTCCCAAGAGGGCTCCAAGAGGCCCCCGAAAGGGTCCAGGAGCACGTTATAAAACAAGCTGTTTTTATAAGCTGTCCTGGGGCCCTCTTGGGCCCGTCTTGGGGCGCCTTTGGGCCCCTCCGAACGCTCTGGGAAGTGTCCAAGAGGGCCCCTACAGGGCTACAGGAGGCCCCCAAGAAGGCTCCAAGAAGCCCCCAAGAAGGCCCCGGAGTACCTTACAAAACAAGCTGTTTTTATAAGCTGTCCTGGGGCCCTCTTAGGCCCGTCTTGGGGCGCCTCTGGGCTTCTCGGAAGGATATGGGAAGGGTCCAAGAGGTCCCCTAACGGGCGGGTCGGGTCGGGCCGGGCGGGACATTAAAGTATGATGCGTCATCGAGTTGGCACGCGAGTACCCTAACGGGCGGGTCGGGTCGGGTCGGGCGGGCGGACCCTAACGGGCGGGTCGGGTCGGGTCGGGCGGGACATTAAAGTATGGTGCGTCACCGAGTTGGCACGCGAGTGCCCTAACGGGCGGGTCGGGTCGGGTCGGGCGGGCGGACCCTAACGGGCGGGTCGGGTCGGGCCGGGCGGGACATTAAAGTATGGTGCATCATCGAGTTGGCACGCGAGTACCCTGACGGGCAGGTCGGGTCGGGTCGGGCGGGACATTAAAGTATGGTTCATCACCGAGTTGGCACGCGAGTGCCCTAACGGGCGGGACGGGTCGGGTCGGGCGGGCGGAGCTGGGGCAGTCTGGGGCAGTGTGGGGCAGTCTGGGGCAGTCTGGGTCAGTTGGGTCAGTTGGGTCAGTTGGGTCAGTTGGGTCAATTGGGTCAGTTGGGTCAGTTGGGTCAGTTGCTGGCCCAGTTGCTCCGCCCACCCGTTTCAGTTGCTCCGCCCGCCCCCCGGCCCCCTTGGCAGTCTGGGGCAGTCTGGGGCAGTCTGGGGCAGTCTGGGGCCTGTCTGGGGCCTGTCTGGGGCAGTCTGGGGCAGTCTGGGGCAGTCTGAGGCAGTCCGGGGCAGTCTGGGGCAGTCTGGGCCAGTTGGGGCACTCTGGGGCAGCCTGGGGCAGTCTGGGGCAGTGTGGGGCAGTCTGGGGCAGTCTGGGTCAGTCTGGGTCAGTTGGGTCAGTTGGGTCAGTTGCTGGCCCAGTTGCTCCGCCCACCCGTCTCAGTTGCTCCGCCCGCCCCCGGCCCCCTTGGCAGTCTGGGGCAGTTTGGGACAGTCTGCGGCAGTCTGGGACAGTCTGGGACAGTTTGGGGCAGTCTGGGGCAGTCTGGGACAGTCTGGGGCAGTCTGGGACAGTCTGGGGCAGTCTGGGGCAGTCTGGGGCAGTCTGGGGCAGTCTGAGGCAGTCTGGGGCAGTTGCGGCAGTGTGGGGCAGTTGGGGCACTCTGGGGCAGTCTGGGGCAGTCTGGGGCAGTCTGGGGCAGCCTGGGACAGTTGGGGCGGTCTGGGGCAGTGTGGAGCAGTCTGGGTCAGTTGGGTCAGTTGCTGGCCCAGTTGCTCCGCCCACCCGTGTCAGTTGCTCCGCCCGCCCCCGGCCCCCTCGGCAGTCTGGGACAGTCTGGGGCAGTCTGGGACAGTCTGGGGCACGCTCGGGCAGTCTGGGGCAGTCTGGGGCAGTCTGAGGCAGTCTGGGGCAGTTGGGGCAGTGTGGGGCAGTTGGGGCACTCTGGGGCAGTCTGGGCCAGTCTGGGGCAGTCTGGGGCAGTCTGGGACAGTGGGGCAGTTGGGGCGGTCTGGGGCAGTGTGGGGCAGTCTGGGTCAGTTGGGTCAGTTGCTGGCCCAGTTGCTCCGCCCACCCGTCTCAGTTGCTCCGCCCGCCCCCCGGCCCCCTAGGCGCCACTGGGGGCGGTCTCAGTTGCAACTGGGGTGGTTTCAGTTGCTCCGCCAATTGCTTCCGTGGAGGGGTGAGAGAAGGAGAAAGAAGGGTTGGTGGTTTGTCTTCACGGACGCTGTGGCCTCCTACTGGCCACATTGCGGGCAGCGAAAAAAACATGAGGAGCAGAAGACAGAGGACAGTGACAATGCTGCCTCTCCCTTTTTATCCCCCCTTCTTCCTCCGCCTCCCCCATCGTCATGTTTTGATCTCCGGAGGGACAGAGAAGGGGAGAGGATTGTAATACGCAGGGAACGGGGAGGAGAAAAAGGAGGAGAGGGAGGAAGGGGAGAGAAGGTGGAAAGGAGAAATAGAAGGAGCATTAACAAAAGGAAGAGGGGAAGGAGTAGGAAGGAGGAAGGGCGAGAGGAGGGGTTGGACGATACTGATGGACCATGCGGATGAGGGTGCGGGCCAGGCCGTTGAATCGAGCAGCACTTGAGTCTCTTTCCTCCATATCCAATCCTTTCCATCCCATTCTATACGTGTAATCCTCCGCACCTCGCACACACAACCGTGACATAACATGATTTCGAATTGCTTCCGCCAAGGGTTCTTGGCACGCAAAGGTGATCATGGCATTCGTCGCAGCAGCCTGGATGCGACTGATGCTAATAACCTTTTACTACAATCCCGGATCGGACACCAGTCCGCACCACCCCTTACACAGTGTCGAGCGGGATGCACCCCGCGCGGAGTCGTTCGAGTAGTTCCAACTCACAACAACTCCGCACCATTGCACACCAGTAGCGAATGAAGATTAATCCAATGTTGTCTCGCGATGATGTGTGGCAGTATGTTGGGATCGAAATCAAGGATAGGAGAGTCGGCAAGGAGAGACGAATTCTGCACACGATCGCGATTGATTGAGACTTGGCAGCAAAAGAATCGCTATCCCAATTGCCAAGGAGGCCGACGAGCAGGAGCGCGACGTGTTCAGCTTTTTATCTTCATTGAAACAGGACGTCCGGCCAGGGGTCGTAATCTGGAGGTGTTCTCTGAGCTCTGCAGGCGCTGCTCGTGATGCGACTTTGCCCTCGAGGCCCAGGGGAGGCACTCAAGCAGGCTCTTCATCCTGCTGGTCTGTGTTCATCTTTTCACATAACCCAGGGTCTTTCAGCGGGCGACCAGCACTGACCCACAAGACAGCCAGGCAGGGCTGTGGTGGCGACGCATGCAGCTGGTCCGCCTGGGTTCACCACATCAGGCACCATTTGGGAGAAGCGAGGAGCCAGGAAATGGATGCCGCGAGGGATGCACGGCAAGTCGAAGGACCATGTCTCGAGGCGGTTTAGAGGCTCCAGGCGGGAGCATCACCCCACATGGTGTTCAAACACATTGCATCTGCTCTGGAGTTTTCCTCGATCAGAGTCCTCCTCGCGGGAAAACATCGTTTTGGCTAGCGTAGTTTGTCTGAAGGTGTTTTCGTGTTCTGTATGATTGCTCTGCGCTCCTCCAAGAGAAGATGTGGGGGGTCGGGCTGGACCCCCGTTTTTTTCTGCAGAGGCTGCAGAAACATTATAGGTTTTCTTTCAGTTTGTGTTGAATGCTCTGGCGAGTCTGAATACAGCAGAGCCTGGATCTGGAGATCGTACTCAGCGATCTTTCGGGCTCGATGCCACATGGTACCAGCGCGCGGACTCGTGAAGCGCAAGGCAACTAAAACCCTGAGTGCGTAGAGCCCTATGCGTGCTGTCCGAACCCCAGTGTGTGTGTGTGTGTTGTGTGTGTGTGTGTTGTGTGTGTGTGTGTGTAACCCTGTGCGTGTGGAATCCGTGTGTAACCCTGTGCGTGTGGAATCCTGCGTGTGCCGCCCCGTGGGTGGAGCCCTGTGTGTCTGAAGCCCCCGTGCACGGCCTCGGTTGCCTTCAGGGCCCTGAGTTATCCTGCACGGCTCACCTCGTTGCAGCTTGGGTTGGCGCGCCCCGTCGTTTTCAAGAGCCAACCGATGCCACGTAGCCGCGGCATTGGGGGTGACATGTGTGGATCCGTGTGAACAGAGCCTGTGCGCGCGCGTGTGTTTGTGTGTGTGTGAGAGTGTGTGTGTATGGTTGTGCGTCCGTAGCCACTTTGGCTCAAGTTCAAGCCGCTCGGCCCTGGCGGCTTGAACTTGAACGCAGACGGCGGGGTCGGCTCAAGCGACCCGGCCCGGGCGCCTGGGCCGCGCGCGTAGGGTAATCCGAGCGCGCGCGCATTGGCGGCCGCCGCGGCAAGCCGCCTGCCGCCGGAGGCCCCGCCGTGCCGCCGCAGCTGGGGAAAGCGCTGCTGGCCGCATGCCGGGCTGCTGGGCTCCCTGGCCGGGGTGGTGGCGGGACGCAGCGGGTGCAGGAGCGCAAGGGGGGCGGGCGTGGTGGTCGCCCCGAGGCTCCGGAGGGCCCGCGGCAACCCACGTGGGGGTGCTCGTGCGGGGTGTCTGACAACTGGGCCTGTCGGACTGCCTGCCGGGCGTGTGGTCGCCGTTGTCCGCGCGCCCTCGGGGGGGGCACGCAGCCCCCCGGAGCGGACCGCCTTCCCCCGGCGGCGGCCGCGGCGCGTACCTGGGCCCAGGTGGCCGCGGGGACGCAGCAGGGCGCGGCGCAGGCAGCGCCGCCGGCGGGGCCGCTGCCCGAAGCTGCTGCCCCCCGCGACCCCGATCCGGCAGCGGCGCCGACGGCTGGAGAGCGCCTCGCTGGCCTCCGAGCCCGCGTCGCCGCCTTCAGGCTCTTCCCGGAGTGCGCCGCCACGGTGGCGCAGCTGAAGGCGGAGATGGCGGCCATCGCGGAGGCAGAGTGGGCCGCCCGCCCGCTCGAACGGAGGCTGCAGTCGGCGGTGGACGCCTTGCGGTGTCGCTCCGAAGCAGCCCAGAAGGCGCGGCAGGCCGCCGACGACGCTTGGGAGGCGGCCGAGCAGGCGGCGCAGGCTGCGGCGGCCATGCAGGCGCAAGCCGTGCAGGCCGAGGCCGAGGAGGCGGCCGCGCAGCGCACGTTGGCAGCGGTGCAGGCCGAGGCCGCTGCTGGCGGCGCCGCTGGGCCCGTCGCTGGCCCCGGCGCCTACGCGGGAGGGGTCGACGCGGCCCTCGCGAAGCTGGCAGCCGCAGCGTCTCCCGCCGCGCAGGCCGGCGTGGCTGGTTTGCTGCAGCAGCTTCGCGGCGCGCTGCAGGCGACGCCAGACGGTGGCGCAGGGCACGTTGGGCCTGCCAGTGGTGCGGCGGGAGCGCCAGGTCTGGGCGGCGGCTCCGGGCTGCAAGGAGACGTGGCTGCGGCGCCTGCGGCGGCGGCAGCACCCGCGGCTGCAGGCGCGCCCGCCGCCGGCGCCTCCCCCGAGGAGGCCTGGGCACCCCGCGCGGCGGCCATGATGGGCAGCAGCCGGCGGCGCGCGGCCTCCGTAGGCGCGAGGTCCGGGCGCTGGTATTCCCCCCTGCGGAGGGGCTCCGAAGATGGCGACCGCTCCCGGTCTACGGATCGCAGCGCTTCGCCTGCGGAGCCCCGCGTCCCTCTGTTCGCCCAGCCGGCGCAATTGCCGCCCGGCCTGCGGACTTTACCATTGCGGCGGAGTGCGCGCCTCGCCGCGGCGGCACCTGGCGGTGCCTAGTGGTGCCTCGATCGCGCGGCCGGCGCCGGGCGCCCCGCCGCCGCCGGCGCGTGCGAGCGACAGGGCGGAGGCGCCCTCGGCGGGGGCCGGGATCGCCCGAGTGCGAGCTGCGGCTGCGTCGCGGGGCTGCTGGCGCTGACCCGGGAGAGCAGGCTGCTGGGTCGGGGTCGGGGAGGCGCGACGCCCTGGCCCAAGCAGCACGATCAAGGTGCACGTGGCCAATGTCACGCGCTGGAGCGCCAGCTGGCGCGGCGCCTTGGCAGCGCAGGCCGACGTGTGGTGCGTGCAGGAGGCCCGCGTTCCAAAGCTGGAGGCGGCTGCGGCGATGGCTGCAGCGCGGGCTCGCGGGATGCGGTTGCACTTGGGTCCGGAGCTGGAAGGCGAGCATCTTCTGGCGGCCGCGCACGCGCCTGGGACGTGCTCAGCCCAGGCCGAGGCCATGTGTGGCCTCTCTGGCCGGCACCCGGGCCGCCTCCAGCACGTGGCGGTGCACCTGGGCGGGAGTCGCGCCGTCCACCTCCTGAACGTTTACGTGTGCGCTGGGGGGCGGATCGACCCGGAGCGCAACGCCGACCTGATCCTGGAGGGCCTCGAGTGGATCCGGGGCCTGGGCGGCGCGCCCGCCCTCCTGGTAGGCGACTTGAACTGCAACGTCGCCGACTCGGGCCTGGAGGGCTTGCTGGGCCTGGCCGGCTGGCGTGATGTCCTGGCGGCGGCTGGCCCCACCTGCATCCCCTCCGATGGGGCCCCATCGAGGCAGGACTATGCGCTGGTCAATCCGGAGGCGCTGGGGCTCATCGAGCGGGTTGGCATCAGGTGGGACCTCGGGTTTGCCACCCGCGCGGCCCTCTGGGTGGAGCTGCGCCCGTCGGCCCCGGAGCGGGCCCTCATGCCCTGAGGTCTGAAAGGAACAAATTTTGGGAACATCATTAAGTTCCCAAATGTTTGTCCCCGATGCTACAGATGCACAATAACATGATGTTTTGACACCTGCAAACCCAAAATATGTAATATTAGTCGTTCGCTGTACAAAACCACGATTGACGTACTATTGTTGACGAGTTGTTGTTTGTGTTGATGAGATTGTTTAGCGCTGCCTGCTTGTTGAGGTTTTGGCGAGATCGGTGGGGGTGGGGGCACGTAAGAAAAGAAACGTGACCCTTGCGCTGGACCAGCCCCTGCGCGCTCATCATCATCATGATCATCATCACCAGCACTCCTATGACCTTCCCCTCTTCTCCCCCTCCCCTTCGTTCTTTTTCGTCGCAGGGCGTTTGGCCCGAGGGATTTCTCGAGGGGATTCGGGCCAGAAGGCCCGATGTCGGACAAGAGGCCACCCCCGCGCCAGCGAAGCATGTGCGACGCTGGCGCGCTGGGCCAGCTGTGGTCGGAGCTGTTCGTGTCCGACGACATGTCGGAATCTCAGCTGCTCCACGCGGCGGGGACACGGATCGAGGAAAGAGGATGAACCAGGAGTGCTCGGAGGGGAACGGAAGAGGGGAGGAGGAGCTAGAGGGGAATTCACGAGTACCTATAGGAGGGGGAGCAGGGACGAGGAGAAGGAGGAGGAGGAGGAGATGGACGAGGAGGAGGAGCAGGAGGAGGAGGAGGAGGGGGATGAGGAAGAGGAGGAGAAGGAGGAGGTGGAGGAGGCGGAAAAGGAGGATTGAGAGAAGGACGAGGAGGAGGACGAGGAGTAGGAGGAAAAGGGATAATGCACGTCCAGCCGAGGCTGAACTACACGACGGACTTAGACGGGGAGGTCGATCCAGAGGAGCTCGTGAAGGAGAGCATCGTGCAGCTCATATCCAGATCGAGGCCGCTGGCTCCAGTCGGCGGCATCCCGCAGAAGATTGCAGAGGCATTGTTTAGAAAGCCGTGCCCTCCTCCTCCTTCTCTGCATCTACCTCCGTTTCCTCCTCCTTTTCCTCCTGCTCCTTTTCCTCCTCCTCCTCATCCTTTTCCTCCTCCTCCTCCGCCTCCTCCTCCCCCCCCCCCCCCCACCCACCCTGCCCAGAAACGTTAGCCAGGAAACGCAGGGGCTAGGGAAGGAGGGGGGGAAAAGAAAGGATAAACTGGTGAGCCATAGAAAGGGCGGGAGTGAAGAGGAGGAACAAAAACTGAAGGAGTGGATGGGGGGATTCAGTGAGCCCATCACTGAATCCTCCCATCCACTCCTTCAAGTGATCCTCAGTGACCTCCTAATTTAGATTAGGAGGTCACTGGGGATCAGTCTGCTCACTGGTTCCAGTGAGCCGACGGTGAGGTCATTCGGTCCGCATCCGCCCCATCGCCCCAGGCTGGGCTGGCGCATGTCGTGGAGAAGAACGAGGCCATCTGGAAGCTGGCCGACTCAGGTCGGAGGTGGTGCATCGACAATGCGAAGATGATCAGGGCGATGATCCGCCATGCGTCCAAGGCTGTCTCGAGGACAGGGCTTCGAACTACATTACTCCGACAACAGTACCCCACCCATTCCCCTTTCCAAAGGGGATGGGTCCCTGGGCAACCGGCGGGGGGAGGATCGATTGGGGTCGGACGGGCGGGCTAGAACGGGCTTGTAAGATCAGGAGTCCCGTGCCGAAGTGGGCGACCGTGCACAGAAGCGACCAGGGCCGCGCTCTCTTCGACCATCAGCCCCCGACCAAGAAGCAGCGGAGCGGGAAGTCCGACGTTGCGCCCCTGGTCGAGAACGAGACTTGGAAGCTCGGCTACGTGAAGGAGCTTCAGGCGAAACGCCAAAAACGCCCTCGCCCTCGTACTCCTCCTCCTCCTCAACTCCTCCTCCTCCCCCCTCGCCCTTACTCCTCCTCCTCCTCCTCCTCCTCGTCCTTGCTCGTCCTCCGCCTCAACTCCTCCCCTCCTCCTCCTCCTTCTCCTCCTTCTCCTTGTTCTTAATCCTCATCTTCCTCGTCCTTCCTCCTCCTCGTACTCCTCGTCCTTGTCGTCGTTGTCGTCCTCCTCCTCCTCATCCTCATCTTGCTCCTCATCCCCCTCGTCCTTCTTCTCCTCCCTCCTCCCTCCAAATTCCTCACTCCTCCCTCCGCCTGCTCCACCTCGTACTGGTCCTCCTCCTTGCCCTCCTCACCTTTTTCCTCATCCTCTTCATGATATCCTAGTCCACCAACCGCCTCCCCGAACTTTCAGGGGGGTGGTGGGGGGGGGGGGGGGGCGGTGGAGGGAGGGGGGCTCGGTAAAGGGGGTGGATGGGAGAGGTGGAGGTTAGACGAGGAAGGAGGAGGCTTCATATGTTCACTGTTCTTGCGAATCCCCAGCCAGCATGGCGTCTGCCAGCATATGGATCTCAGAGGAATCCAGATTATGTGGTAGTGGTGCCGAACAAGTCTGGGAACGTCTTGGAGGCCATATGGCCCGTCGGTTTCAAGTGGAAGGTGCAGCTTTGGATGTAACACTTTCGTAACTTAACGATGCTGTTCCTCCTTCTCCTACTGCCCTCTCTTACTCTTCACCTTCCAGCAGGGTGCCTGACTCCACTGCCGATGACCTCGATGGCCTCGACTGCGGCAAGAAGCACTCAGACTTCATCTTCTGGGCAGGCGAGCACGTGATCGACAAGCAGCGCATCAAAGCGCTGACAGTTAACAAGAAGGACAAACAGTGGATCCAGGTGCTGCACGGCAACAAGCAGAAGCTACAAGCGATGGGCATCGACGTGAACGACGAGGCCAAAGCCTTCGTGACGGGCATCGTGCAGCTATACGCTTTGGACAAGATGACAAAGCAGCAGATGGAGGATGAGAAGAGGCGTTGGTTGAAGGGGCGTGCCAAGGTGCTCAAGCGGCCTGCATCCACTATGAAGCGGCCTGCGGCTGCCGCTGTGAAAGGCGAAGCCAAGGAGGGGCCAGAGATCACCGCTGGGCCCGAGGATGAGGATGAGGACAAGGCCGCGGAGGGCGAGGGAGGCGATGACGATGACCAGGCCGCAGATGACGCTGCCGGCGAGAACGAGGACGAGGATGATGAGGAGGCGGAGCAGGAGCAGCGGCCCGCGGAGCGCAGTGAGGATGAGCGCTGCCAGGAGGCCGAGGAGGTCGAGGAGGCCGAGGAGGCCGATCAGCCGAGCACGGTGAAGGTCCCCAAGCACATGAAGATGAAGGCGAACATCCAGAACCCAATGAAACCCAAGAAGTCACACATCACGCCCGCGAAGCCCAAGAAGCAGCCCGCGCCCACTGCGCCTGTGCCTGGTGCGTCGAGCGCGGCGCCGCCGATGCCAGCGATCCCAGGCTCGTTCACGAGCTTGAGCGCGGTGCCGCCGATGCCAGGGATCCCCGCCAGCTTTTCCATGATGAGCGGGATTTTCATGTGATCGAGCGCGGGCTCGGAGAGATTGGGAGGGGTGAGTGGGGCGTCAGAGGATGCAGCTGGCAGCGAGGGGGTGGGCCTGCATACTGGGCAGATTGAGATCGCCTGGACCTGGTGGTGCGTGCATTTGAACGCACTCACCGCCCTTGTTTTCTCTCCCACTCCGTCTCTCGCTCTCTCGTCTCTCTATATCAATCTCTCCTTCACTCGTTCCCTCCATCGTTCCCTCCCTCACTCGCTCTCTCTCCCTGCCTTGCCCGCCCTCCCCTCCCTCGCAGTCACGAAGCCGCATGCAGTGGCTGGTGCCAGCTCGTTCTATTTACTGATTGCCTCGGCGAGGCTTGGGCAACGATGGCAGCAATGCGTCGCATTGCGAAGTGCAGCAGCCGCTGGAGGCAAGAACAAAACTACATTCAAGACGCTGGAAGAAGGACCCTCGTAGGGCCCAGAACAGGCTCAGAGTTCTTGGGGCTCTACGGATTGACGCCCTAAAACCATCGTTCCGCATTACTTGCGCATGTAGTTCTGAGGCCCCAGGCGGCCCCGGGAGGCCCCAGGAGACCCCGGGGGGCTACAGGGGGCCCCAAGAGGCCCCAGGAGGCCGCAGGAGGACCCAGGAGGTTCAGGAGACCCCCAGGAGGCATTGCGCGGCAGTGTCAGGTCATGTTGGAGGCTCCTCATGGCAAGACGTCCTGCTTCAAACGTAAGACACCGACGTCGTATTGAAGGTTCCTTGTGACAAGACGTCCCTCTTCAAGACAATCGTGACTGCCGTTGGCTCGAGTGGGCAATTCCGACCCACGTACCCCGATGGCTCCTCCACAGCGGGCGATGGTGACGCCGCCCTCGGGCGGCTCAGCGGGCTGCCCCTCGCCGCCAGCGGGCGGCGGCTCGCCTAGGTCGGCAAGGCTGCGGCAGAGCCAGGATGGCCAATACCCAGAGTCGCAGTTTCCGTACAGTGCGTACCCGCCTGCCTGTGCTACGCAGATTGAGACTGCTACCAACGCCTTCGATGATTTCATGAGGGAGCGGCGGCAACAATGGCAGCAGGAGCTCAGTCGCGGCTCGGGGCCAGTCCAGCAAGCCACGATGGTGGAGACGGGGCAACCGCGCCCGATCGAAGTGAGCGATTCTTCGGACTCAGCTGCGCCGACCGAGCGCGCTGCCGATGAGGAACTACAGGCGGCGATTGTCGAGAGTCAGCGGGAGCACGACAAGGAGATGACCATGCGCGGCGAGGAGGAGGAGCAGCTGCAGCAAGCGACGCAACAATCCAGAGCGGAGGCAGTACGCAAAGGCATAGGTCCTGATGATATTCTGCCACCTCGCGGCTGCAGTCTGAACCCTACAGCACGCTTCAGCATGGACATCGACGCAGGCGAGAACGCTGGTGGTTGCGCAGCAGGCGCAGCCGAGAGTGCGGGTGGCACGGCAACAAGCGCTGCAGCAGCCGAGACATGCGGCGGTGAGGCAGCCAGCGTTGCAACCGCCCAGGCCACAGACGCAACCGCCGAGAACGCCGCAGGCACGGCAGCTGGCGTCGCCGAGGTCAAGGACGTCGACTTGACGACGCCCCCGAAGAAGAAGAAGCACGACCTGTCCATGAAGATCATGCGCCGCGACGGCGACTTCGAGGACACATGCCACCTGGGGGGGGATGAATTCGAT